AAAATTAGTCTAGGCAAAGACTTTACACCTTCCACAAAAATCAACTCAAAATGGATCATAGCCCTAATAGCAAAATTCATAACTATCAAACTTTTTAGAATACAAAGTAGTATAAAATCCAGGTGACCTTGGGATTGGCAATGACTTCTTAAATACAACACCAAAAAACACAATCCATGGGGAAAAAATGGATAAATTAGACTTCATTAAAATTAAAAATGCCTACTCTATGAAAGACACTGCTAAGATAATAAACAGACAAGGCATGGACTGGGAGAAAATATTTGCAAAACACCTATCTGATAAAGAGCTTGTATCTAGTATAGAGGAACAACTCTTAAAACTCAACAATAAGAAAACAAGCAACTCAATTTAAAAATGAACAAAAGATCCAACAGACACCTCACCAAAGATGATATACAGATGGAAAGTATGAATAACATTCAGCAATGAAAAGACATTCAACATCATATATCATTAAGAAGCTGAACATTAAAACAACAGTGAGATACCATCATACAGTTTGAATAGCTACAATCCAAAACACTTACAATGTCAAACGCTGAGGTGGATGTGGAGCAACAGGAACTTTCATCCATTGCTTATGTGAATGCAAAATGGTGCAGACACTTTGAAAGACAGTTTAGCAGTTCCTTACAAAACTAAGCATACTCTTGCCATATGAACTAGTAATTGTTCTCATTGGTATTTACCCAAATGAATTGACTTCCGTCCACACGAGAACGTACACACGGATGTTTATAGCAGCTTTAGACACAATCGCCAAAACTTAAAAGTCAACAAAGATGTTTTTCAGGAGGTGAATGGATAAACTGTGATAATATAGACAATGGAACTTTTTTAGCACTGAAATAAACCATCAAACCATAAAAAGACCTGGAGTAAGCTTAAATGCATATTACTAAGTGAAAGAAGTCCATCTAAAAAGGCTACATACTGTATGACTCCAATTATATGACATTCTGAAAAAGGCAAAACTATGGAGGCAGTAAAAAGGTCCATGGTTGCCAAGAGCCCAGGCTGAGAGGAAGGAATGAATCAGTGGAGCACAGAGAATTTTTAGGGCAGTGAACATATTCTGTCTGACCCTGTAGTGGTGTATATATAATATTAGGCATTTGTCAAAAGCCAGAGAATGTAGCACACAAAGAATGAACCCTTATGTACACTATGTGCTTTAGTTAATAATAAAGTATTAATATTAGTTCGTCAGTTGTAACAAACTTACTACACTAACACAAGATGTTAGTAATATGGGAAACTGTGGGGAAAGAGGGAGTACATGGGGACTCTGTATTTTCTGCTCAATTTCTTCTCTAAACCTAAAAGTGCTCTTAAAAATAAGACCTATAAATATATCAATAATAGTTTTTCAAAAAAATTCTATGGGCGTTCAGAGGGAAAAAATTGCTTCTAGTCAGAAAAATAAGGGAAAATAAAATTACTTGGAAGAGATGGCATCCCAAATAGACGCTGACAGATGAGTAAGATTTAGATGAAACGGTGTAATTGTGTAGGGTAAGGACATTCTGGCAGAAGAAAGAGAATAAGTGAAGACAGAGTTAACATTCTCAACACAGCAATTAAGCAAATGTGCAAATCAGTGTGTTCATCTGTGGCTACTCTGTGCATTAGACACCAGTAATCTTTACTATTTAACCTACGTGAGCTTCAGTTTCTTTATCAGTAAAGCAGGAATCATTGTACATCACAAGTTTGTTCTCACAATTAAATTATATAATATACATGAGCATGTAGTAGCCATGGACAACTCGTATTATATTTCTATTAATAGTAGGAATGCATTCAGTGGGTATAGGTTGTCATGGATACTGTGATGCTAGAATGGATTTAGAGGGATTGAAAGACCAGTAGGAGAAAGATTGACAAAATTTGGTAAAAAGAACTGCTAGAACATTTGAATGTAAGCTGAAGACTTAGGAAAATATTCTGTTTTTAAGGAAGAGAATGGAGAAGACTCTAGTCAAATATAACATTTGCAACTCATCTAGTACTGTTTCTGTCACATAATAGACATTAAGGATGGCAGAATGTAAAGGAAGCCTAGAAGGGAAAGAATTCCAGTGAGGTGAGGATTTTCAACACTGTCAAATATTGAGAGGTGTTGAGGAACTTGAGAAAGGGTCAAAGCCATGGGATCTGTCGACCAGTCAGTTGTACATGACTTTTGAGAAGGCTACAGACGAAAGAATGGTTTTTAAGGAGTATGCTGTAAGGAACTAGACAACGCAATGGAAATAACTCTTTCTAGAAGTTTAGTTGTACAAGGAAGGAGAAACCTAAGAGAATAACTCAAAGAGGTAACAAAAAGAGGTTTATTTTAGGAAGGAGAAAATTGGCACATATATATAAGAACAGAATTTTTCAATGGCACTAAAGAAGCAAAAGAAAGAATAGAGGGTGTATGATCAAAATGCATGTGGTAGGTAGACTGTAGTCACAGAGAGAAATGATTAATTTTAAAGGAAAGGAAAAATGAAGTAAAGAGAAGAGAATAATTAAAGAAATAGAGACATTTTGAGGTAGAGAGGATAGATCTATTGAAGCACCTCTTTGATTCAGCAAATATTTTTATGCATCTAAGTATCAATTACTGGGTAAGGGAGTAGGCGAGCAAGAACAGATGCATATAATTCCAAGATGGCACAGTAAATTCCGTGATCGAGGTGAGTGGGAAATGCCATAGGAGTCAGTCCACAGATAAGGCAATATTTCAACGTCATCTTTTAGGTCAACGTACCAAGGTGGAGCAGTCAAGGAAAAGCATTTTGGAAAGAGGAGACAAAATGTGTAAATATTATTAGTACAGTGTAAATAAAGAAACTCATATCAGATGGTCTCTAGTAGGTAAATTCTTATTTCCTGGCTTCTACAGTATTTGAATTTGTTTTCTCATAAGCAAGTTTGTGTAGGTAGTGGAGATCATCTCCACAGTTGAACTTCACTGAATTCCAATGTTAATCCTTCCACCTGCCAGTGAAGATTGCTATTTTACTGGCCTGTCAGTACATGTAACCAATAACCAGATAAGCACAAAACCAATTCTCCCTTTGCTTAAAGTATTAATGGCAATTCCATTTCCCCTACACTCACTTCAATATTTTTTTTTTGTCTCTTCACCTACCCCACTAAATTTCTAAGTCCACTGACTTGGTTTTGGTCTAAGTCATCATTAGATCATGCCTAAATTCTTACAACAACCTTCTTAGCCTCTATCTATAGTTCTTTACTTTTCAAAGCCATCTTGCACCCCACTGTCGCGTTAACCTTACCAAACACCGCTTTCCCTAGACTATCTCCTAAGGACAGACTCCTCAGCGACTCCCAGCTACTGAGGACAGAGCCTTTAGCCACAAAGCCTGCTTCCTTCACAAACTAGTCAATATTTACTTTTCACCACTTAGCTTCTGCCTGCCATGCTAAATGTTAGTAATAATATGGAGTAAGCAGAACTCTCCTACATTTTTTAATAGAAATTGAGAAGAGATGTGGAAATTTCTCATAAATCTTAAACACACTTCTACCTTATGACACAGCAATTCCACTATTAGGCAATTTTCCAAGGAAAGAAAATTGTATACAGGAATATTCACAGCATATTTTATTCATCATAGCCCCAAACTCAAACAGCCCAAATGTTCATCAGCAGACAAGAGGATAAACTATAGTATATTCATACAATGAAATACTACTCAGCAATAAAAAAGGAATGATATAACAAAATAATTGAATCTCAAAAACAGTATGCTAAGTGAAAAAAAAAAGGCAAAATGAATCTACGGTCAAGAAATATCAGAATATTCGTTGCCTCCAAGGGAGCAGTTACAAAAACTAACCAATGGAAACAAGATCACTTTTTGGAGTGATGATAATATTCCATATCTTGATAGAGGTTTGTTTTATAAATGTATGTGCAGTAGTCAAACTCATTGAATGTTACACTTAAGATACATGCATTCATTACATATAAATTTTACTTTCAAAAAAATAACTAAACATATATTGAATTCAATTACTGATATACATGATAACATGTTTAGGGGTGAAGTGTACTTATGTTTGCAACTTACTTTGAAATGAATGAATATGTAAGATAGATTGACTTATAGAAGGAGGGGTATATATAGATGGACAGATGCACGATAACACAAATATACTAAAATGTCAGATGCATGATAAAGCTAATACATTAAAATGTTAAGTGTAGAATTTAGGTAGTGGTGTATGAGTGTTTACTGTGATAATCTCTTTCTTAAAATAAAGCTAAATTAACTCGATGCTTTTCACTTGTACTTAATCATAAGTTGTAACGAGGAACATTCTAGCATGATGATACAGCAGAGGCTGGACTCTAGAGATAAAGCAACTAGCTTTAATCCCAGCTCCGTAATTTATTCACCATGAGTCTTAGTCTTGAGATATCCTACTGGTAAAACCAGGAAAACAGTCTCTCTCTTAGATACTGTTGTGAGGAATAGATACTTTAGTGTTAATGTCTTCTGCCTGACACATCGAACTCAATACATGATAATAATAATTGTCTTTGTGGTACTCATACTTGTGTCTACACTGCCTCTTAATCCTATAAGCTCCTTAACAGCAGAGGTTGATGTAGACATACTGCTTTTGCATTCTTCTGCAAAAATGTACCATATTATCAAACATAAAGTAGCCACTAAGAAAATATTTCACTACTACATGAATGAAGAAATTTTTTTAAAAATTTGTGTGTCTTACTAGGGTGCTTTGCTGTCTCTGTTTGACCCTCTCTTCCAGAAACATAGCTTTAACTAATCTCTTCCAAGTAGCATATAACAAAATTACTAACAAATGAAAGACTGTTAATCTAACACATACTCTTCACTGTAGTTTTAGAACCACATCTGTATTTCAACTGCTTTTAGAATCATAAAAAGAAATATTTGGTATGTGCTGTTATTTTGTTAGTGTTTGCTTACCTACTAGGATCCAATTAACCATTCATCCTCCAAAGTGGGGAATTCTGGAGTTCTGGAGATGTTGAACTTTGAAGGTCTGTAAAACAGAACAGAATCAAACAAATGAGTTTTATACCTCTGCTGTTCTTCAGAAATTTATTAAAACATTGCTGGAAACTGTAATTTCATGAACTTCAAAAGCTAGAGGAATTCAAACATCATACAGGTTCATGGTAAGACTAAGTCTCACTTAGCATCACAGTGATGACAACACAATTCTTTTTCTGGCTTATATAAGCATAAAAAAACTTATGATCAACTGAGTGCGAAAATTAGCAAGTTACACACGTTGGAGGGTCCAACCTTAGCACAAATGCAGAGGAGCCCTATAGAAATTATAAACAAATGTGAAGACTTCTGGGAAGCCTATCAAATGATGTCTCCATCTCAAAAACTTAAACATATAACTCAGAATTCCAGAACTATGGAGGAATTAGAAATCATAAATGCCTATGTGTGAGCAGTCTCCCTTCTATATGACATAATGAGAATTTAAAGCTTATACACAGATGGTTTTAAAATGTCAAGATAGCTATCCTGTACTTTCTACTACCTAGAACTTTTAGAGGAGCTTTCCCATCTATAATTTATACAGAACGCCTGGCTAGAACAGGACTGTAAAGAAAGCTCAGTGTCTTTGTTTTGCTGTAAGGCTAAGACCAGATACTTTACACCAGTCTGGCCTCTTGGAAAGAAGGTTCCCAGTTATGAAAAAACTCATGAGAAAGTAGATGTGTATATGGACACACTACTGGAAAGGCCTGTGGGCAAGTAATAGGGTGCATTTGGTGGGGAAGGGTTATCTGTTTCTGCCCACAAACTAACTGGGCACATTTAGCAAGGAGCAGAAATTGCTCATGCTTCCACCAGAGAAGAAAGTCTGGCCTGAGTCAAACTGAGGTCTTCAAGGGCTGATGCTTCAAGGTTCACCAACAGCGGGGCCATCCAACCAGAGGTGTCAACTTTTAGAGACTTTTACTCAGTATCCTTTTTTAGCAAGTGCTTCTTGCACTGAGTCTTGGTTCTCACCAATTCACCAGGCACTTACCTATATGATAGTGATCAGGGCTCACTGCATACGAAGGCTAGAAGGCTTGCAGGGCAAGATAACACCAACCTTGGCATTAATTTATAAATATCGTGTTTAATTTAATAGGTCAGTCCCCTGGTCCACTTCCCCATCACCCCAGTAGCACCTAATTTCTCAACCCACTAAGAAGTCTGTTCACTGAATAATCCCAATTATTTGCCCTCCGTCTCATTGTTTACCCTCAAAGTGATCTCCTCATATTCATTCTGATCCTTTCTTCTGTCAACTTTTGCAGACCAGAATTGTTCTTCATGGTGATCTGGCCTTTCAAAAGTTTCTCTCATCTTTGAAAGTTTGAAAAACTCCTGCATATTTCAACAACAGGAAATAGCTGGCAATATTGATACTCTCTCTATATATATGTATGTGTATATATATATAGGCTTATAGATAAGTAGATTTATATACTACAAAATCTTACTACAAAATCTTAAAAGCCTACATTTCCCTCTTTATTTGTTTTCTGTGGATGCTGGAATAAATTATGACAAACTTTGTTCTGTCACAGGTCTGGGGGCCAGAATGCCAATATCAGTGTCTTTGGGTAAAATCAAGAGGTTAGCAGGTCACAGGTCAGAGGTCACAGCTCCTCTGAAGGCTCTTGGAGAGAACTGGTTCCTTGCCTCTTCCGGATTCTGGTGGCTGCCAGCATTCCTTGGCTTGTGGCCTTATCACTCCAGTCTCTGCCTCTGTCTTCATATCCCCTTCTCTTCTCTATGTGTATCTACTTTTCTACTATCTATGTCAAACCTCCCTCTGCCTTTCTCATAAGAGACTGCATTTAGGTTCTGCCCTGATTATCCAGGATAATCTCTCTGTCTCAAAATTCTCAACTTAATCGCATCTACATAGACCTTTTTTCTTCACAAGGTAACATTTACAGGTTTCAGAGATGAGGACTTGGTATCTTTGGTGGAGGGGAGGGGCATTATTCTGTTTACTCCACCCTACAACCACTCTTCCCCTAGTCTGAGTGCTTCCTGTGGCTATGGGGGGAGCACTTTGCTCCTATTACTCTATGTACACTGTTCTTATTATAATGAATTGTATTTAGATATGGTTGTATACTCAGGACTGCAAGAGTCAAGCTCATCCACTGTGTATGGCGGAGGGGCTAATCTCATAGATGAGGTCATTTTCAGTATTTCTTAGACAAAACAAACAAGCAAATAAAAAATCCCAGAAGCCAAAGCACAGACTTCCACTAACTGAGGGAAAGCATCAGGCTCCCTTTGCCTCAACCGTGGGCATATTAAGGTGCACCAGAGAGAAGAGTATATAAAACACACCAGTAGGGTAGCTTTAAGATGGTACTATGTGAAACAGGCTAGGAAATTAGTCACAAGAGCCCAGGGAAAGCTGTGAGGGCCCCTTGGGGCCACTGGACTCAAAACGGAGTACGAGATGAGGTAAGTTATGAACCTAGTGGCAAGACCGCTAGCACAGCTCTAGAAAACTATGTAATTCTTTGACTGAACTCTTTTCACACTTCCTGAACTCTCTGTGCTTCCCTGCTCCCTTGGTTATTCCTCTACCCACTCATTCCCTCAGTCCACAAATATTTATTGAATGACCAGTACGTGCCAGGCACAGCATTACGCCCCGGCGATGCAACCCTCAGCCAAACAGTCTCTATCCTTCTTGGGTTTGCAGTTTGGGGGTGTAGCTCCTTGGTGCTTAGCTGTAGAAAATCACTACCTTATCACATCTGTGAAGAGGAGTTCAGGGCCAGTTGCTTAACAGGAGAACATCATGAAGATGGGAGCGGAGCTAAATCGAAGGTGAAATTAGAGGAAGCAGCGACAGCAGCTCAATAAGCTGTGCTTCTCCACTTGGAGATTCTCCTTCCAGGGAAAATCCACGATGTTCCAGAATTTTGTTTTAACAAAGACATTAAAATTGCTAGAGAGTAAGGGTCTTCAGAGCCCTTGGGAGGAGTGAAAGAGCAAGGCGATGAGCCCCCTCAAGCGCCTGCTTCAAAAGGAGCAGCTCTGTTTTCATCTGGTTTACATCTTGGGCTTTTAAACAAAGAGTTCTGCCACCAGAACAATGAAGACTGAAAACTCGTGCTTTAGAGGGGCAGGTCCCATAGTGACCAAGAAACTCCTCCTGCAACGTGGCATGCACGGGAAGCACTCAGAATGTATGCGCCAGGAACGGCGGGTCAGGCAGCAGCTTCCTGTATGAAGGCTGGGCTATGAAATTAATGCTTAGCCAATGACAGGAACCAGTGTAGATGATGATAGCCTGATCCTTTCTGGTGTTTCATTTCTTCCTCATGTGACGGGAAAGATAACCAGGAAGGGAATGAACAAAGGCAAACTTGTTTCTCACAATGCTCGTCACCTATCAGGTGATAATATCTCTGCCGATGTTCTGAACAGTCTCCTTTTTTGAAGCATTTTACATCTTTATGAATTTCTGAAGAGCTGTCCGTAGGGATTGAAAACATAAGGATATAGGAATTATACAAGTTAATTTTTTTTTAAAAAAAGGGAATTGAATTGAGATCTGGAAGTTTGATGAAAACCTCCTCTTACCACATGTATCATTTTTATTATCTTAGGAATTTGTAGAAAGATGAGTGAAACATATTTCCCAGACTACGCTAGCCTCTCAGTAAGATAAGGTAATAACAACACTAATTATTAATATGATCCCATTCTATTTTTGTCTGATCTAGCCTTCAAGAAATTCTTCCCAAATGGTTCTGAGTTTTCTTAGGTGGTATCTTATGCTTTGGCACCTAATACTATCAGGCTCTTTCATTCTGGCTCATAGTCATGATTTCCTTAGTCACCTCTAATGTCAGAAGTGGCAGCTACACCACAATGATCACAAAGTCACTTATAATGGACGGGTTAAGAGTTTTAGTCTAGCACTTTACCGGTTCTGCCGAAATCTCAGTTGTGCCCAGAACCTGAAAGGACCCTGCAGTCAGAAACGAAATAGCTCAGAGACATCTGCAAGCTCTAAGTACCAGAAGGGACAGAGGAGTGATGGTTGCATAAACAGACAAACAACAGCAAGGACCTGATTGCTGACCCCTCCCTCCTCCTCAACAGCTTAGTCCCACCTGCTGCAGCGTTCCACGACGCAAATACAAGTCTGCGGACAGAAGTGGGGTGTACTGAGAATGCTGTCTCTACCTCCACAGAAATCATGTTCGTGTAGACAATGAAGTTGTATGTTCTGATCACCTGAATTTATCAACTGATAATTCTTTCCCCTTATGTAAAATTATTTAAATGGTTAATCATGCTCAATAACTTATTCATTAAATCTAAATATGAAATTATAATTTAACACATTATTATAGTGATATAATAATAGAGTTTAGTGTTATACATAATTACTATAAGACATTAATAATTTGTGTTATACATAATTAAATTTTATATTTCTCTATACTACTCTTTTTAGATAATTCACTTAATCAGTCAATATTCCCCCAAAGACTTTCTCCAGTTTTTCAGCCTTTCATTGCTTTATAAATGATTTAGTAAACCAGTTAGGCTCCTACACTTGATACTTATGGAGAGAAAAATATATATTCTATTCCTATGAATCAAGAACAAACTATAAATGAGGAAGGTGTGGAAGTGGGCAAATGCTCAAGTCCAAGGCCCCAGTGGGAAAAGGCTCTTGGACATTTAACTTGAAAGTTGCCGTTTCTCAGGCACTCTCCTTTTTTGTTTAAAGAAACTTCTAGCAAATCCCTTTAGGTACAACTGAAAACTAGATCTGCATCTGCTAAGTCTATGTTAGAGATTTAAAACCATTTTACCATTCAATGGTGCTATGACAACACCCTTCCAACACACCAACAACCAATGTACCTGAAAATTTCAGCCACACAGGGGAGACTGGGCAGCAGACTATTGTTTTAAGAGAACAATAGATCTTCTTAGAGATTCACTAGAGACACGAGAAACAAAGCAACTACTGAAAAGTCTGGTAAGTCTTTGCATGCATCTGGAACTGATAGGAAGAAATGACATAGGACTATTATTTGTCTTATATAAATTCAAAAAGTCATCTTGTTGAGCACTGTATTTTTTTCTGAAGAATATTTGTACTTCAACACAGTATAGCTCTTTCTTGTACACAGATGTACATGATGGATGAATAGAGAATGGACCCATGGTTTCAATGTTCTCACCCTCCAAAACTAAATTATACCAAGATGCTGCTAATTACACAATAGTTCTAAATGAAAGCTCATAGCACCAGAACTCGCAGTAGGGGGGTTTAATGGATAGTATTATAACATTGAATAATTGAGTCTTTAGCCCCTGAAGAGGTCCTCGGCTTTGAAAGTTAAAGGCAACCAGACCTGGGATGGGAAGGAGCCATACAATTAATAAAGAGAAGAAGTAGTGCCAGAAACCAAAATAATTTCCTCTTTACCGCATTTCCTTCCCCACATATTTTGTACATGTATTACCAAAGAGGGTTATTTGTTTACCATTTCATCAAGACAAGTATTATGTGTGTTTTACAGAAGACATTGAGTGGAATATCAGTTGGATTCAGATAATAGAGTTCATTTTTTCTTACTCTGAATAATGATACTATTACTAATATTAATGATTATTTATTATTATTAGCTACCATTTTTCAAGCACCAAGGTATGTGGTAAGACTTAAGCATTAAATTCATTTTGTTAACAACCCACGTGGTACTGTAATACTCCTTCGACGGACAGGGAAATGGAGGTTCAGAAGTAAGCACGTTAGCTAAGGTTACACTAATAATAAGTGCCTAAGAGGTATTCAAAGGTAGGGCTGTCTAAATCCTTTACCATACAGGAGATTTTCACTAAATGGCAGTTACCTCTCAAATGCACTTTTTTTTTTTTCTTTCCTATTTGACTGGAATTGTAGAAATGCTCAAAGCCCTTAACAGACTCTGGGTCTGGATCCTCTGTTAGGATCTCAAGTTCCTAGACACAATTGTCTTCTTTTTATAATAAGAGTCTGATGACTCAGGCAAATAAGATAGAAGCATCTTTTCTTTCACACAAAATTTCCTTAAGCAAAGAGGTAAGATGACTTTAGGTTGCTTCCTGGTCAACACTGGGGCAATTCTAAATCTAACCTGCTTCTCAGTGGAGGCACTGTTCACTTTTGGGGTGAAACAAATCTTTGCAGTGCTAAGCTGTCCCAAATGTTACATTTACATCCCTGCCTACCACCCACCAAATTTCAAGGTGCCAAAAGGCCCCCACACAAATACAAACCCCACCAGGGGTGATACTGCCCCAAGTTAAGAACCACTGAGCCCTTTATAACAGTGTTCTGTAGTCAGCAGGCAGCGGCTATATAGCTGCAAAAAGCAGTCCTGGACTTTGCCTGGAGGGTTACATCGTTTTGATCCTAGTCCAAGAACGTTAGGAGCAGATAACATGCTGCCAATAGGCAGATTTGGACTAAGCCACTGCTCTGGGGCAAAACTATCTTACATCAAAGGAGGAGGGCTAGGGAGTCAGGTCAGAATGTGTGGAAGTCGCCATACTGAGTCACAGCCATCGGCAGGAAGGAAAAGAAAGAGAAAACACATTAGGAGTTGCGTGTCTCCAGTTCACAGGAAGTAAAGTGCAGTGGTAAAGCTCAGTTTAGTCTCCATCCGGCTCGTTGCCAACTTCCCACACACTACTGGCTCCTGACATGGCAAGTCTCTGTCTGGAACCCCTTCTGCCTTTCCACTCACTCCTCAGTCACCTAGTAACTCTTCCTAGGCCCCATGGAAGACAGGCCAACTGTCTACTTTCATGTCTGTTGCAACTTATTCTTGAAATATGTCACTAGGAAGACCAAAAATCTTGTTGCCCCATTCAGCACATTTTGAGTTGTATTTTTGAAAAAGGATGTTTGGGCAATGACACACAAATTACATGCACAAAGCTGAATTAATTATTTGCAGATATGTAGTATAATTATATGGGTTTATGCTATCCATCTGTGAACCTTAGTCTCCCCTGGTGCAAGCACTGCTTATAATAAAAAGGGTTTAATAGCTTTAAGAAAAATTTATTAAGCTTACATTTGCACGAGAGTAAAGTTTTCATTATTTGATGGATTCATGGGATCCTGTGGGTGGAGAGGACCTTGATGAGCCAAATGGCCCATTCTCTGGGATTCAAGAGGAATCACTGTTAAACTCAGAAAGATGGCATAGAGGAATTGTCACAATCACTTGAAGAAATATTTGATTTTTAGTGTTTTTCACCCTCAAGAGATTTTTCTGTTACAGTAACTACTTTTCCTACAGCAAGTTAAACTATTCACAATCATCTGTTGCTCACTGATGCCAAAAAAACGCCCAGTTGTCTTCTCTATGTTAAACTATGTCATGATTGAGAGTTGTTATTCAATGATTTCTACCTTCTCTTTAGACTAAGTAATATCAGCACAATATTAGCATTTCCTCATAGGTCTTGTTTTATAAAACATAACAATTTCCAGTTAACCCCATACAGATTTCCCATGTTCATTTTTAATGGTGAAGACAATCATTCAAAAGACTGGCCACTGCATGACTGTACAATGATGGGAAGATCATCTTGGAGGTTCCTTATGCATTTTTCTTATTTGTATTGGTATCATGCCAGCTTTTAAGAACAGCATTATGTGACTAGCTATACCCTCCATGCCCAAGTGCCTCATTGTTATGGCACAATGACATGAGTTGACTTGGCAATTCCACAAGATATGGAAAGAGGTTAAAAAAAGAGAACGGAGTGTTTATTTTTGCCTTGGGTGTTAGGGGATGCTTTATAGAAGTGACCCTGCAGCCTCATCTTCTATGATGAGAAGTAACTTTCCAGTAGGAAAGAGGGAGTTACTTTTAGAGGGAATATTATAAGACATAGATGTATGAAACCAAAAAAAAAAAAATGTATTCAAGGTTTTTCATGTATACCAGCAGCTGACATGTAGGGTAAAGGAAATAAAATGAGGGAAGGAGGAAAGAGAAATGTATTGAGCACTGTCTACATGGTGGATGCAACACATACATGGCTCCATTTAATCTTCACTATGGTTATATACACTGACCCATATATTACCCATGAAAAACCCAAAATTCAGAGGGGTTATTACTTTGCCCATGGTCAGACAGTAAGTGGCAGAGCCAGGATGAGAACCCAGGACTGGCTGATGGTAAAGCATACGTTCTGTGTTTATCATTTTACTCTCTTATTTCAAAACTAGTAGAACCACAGCAGTCAGATCATGAAGACTTTGACTGACTTTGACTGACTTTGATTGCACTGCCAAGAAATCTGTCATTTCTTTTGTAGACCAAAGAAGAATTTTGTAGACCAAAGGATTTTTTACAGTTTTATGTTTAGAAAAACATATAAAGCCAACTATTTAAAATAATAGAAATGGTTTCAGAAACATGTTCTCAAAGGCAAAGGTAACCTCCAGGTCAGACCCAGTGAAGACCTAATCTAAGGCAGTAGCAGTGAGGATGACATGGAACTGATAGATTCATGAGCTCTTCCGAAGGCTTTATTTCCAGGGCTTGGTGACTGTTTTGATGTGGGAATGAAGGTCCATGAGGAGTCAGGGATCACTCCCAGGTTACTGACTTTGGCAAAGGGTGGGGTGTGGTGAATAATGGTACTATAAATCAAGATAGTAAATGCCAGAGGAAATAGCTAGCCTGGAAGTAAAAGATAAGAGTTCAGTTTGGGGACATGCTGAATTTGAAATAGAGATATCTTATAGGTAAGGAGCTCTCAGGGCTTTGAGTTCATAATTGCTGAGGGTTAGCAGAAAGGAGAAAACGTCTTCGGGAAAGACACAGAGTCAAGAAAGCATGAGTGAGGAGTAAACCACAAGAATCATCTTTTTTTTTTTGTAAGTTGGGTGTAGAAGAGGAAGTAGGTATAGAAGAAGAAGGAGATTCCAAGGACTGATCCAGAGCTTAGAAAGTGAGCTTGGAAGTTTGTTATCTTAGAATGTGAGACAGGAAAGTATTAAAAAATAAATAGTGGTGAGCACAGACAAACCCTGCAGAGAAAATAATTGATATTGGGACTTACAAGAGTCTAATAGTTTGAACAATTGTAACACTAGTGATAATATTAGTCAGACCAGCTTGAGTGAAGTGATTTGAGCTAAAGAATACCGGTGGTGCGTGAGGAAGCCACTGGAAGTAAGGAAGTAGAAATCATGGAATAAAGAGCATTTTAAGAGTTTGGAGCATAATTAATGAATTGAATGTGCAGAAATCTTAAGATATACTCATGAAATTACTGTTCTTATCTCTTTAAATGTTTTCAGTGGGAATAATCCTCTCCTGCCCCTGGATAAAAACTAAGCAAATTCCATGACTCTTCTTTCACTTTGAATAAATTCTTGTTGGCGTTTCCAGTCACAATTCATTTCAATAAGGAAAATTGCCCAGATGATATAATAACCAAGTTTTCAATGTCTGTTCAAAGATAAACATGTATTCCTCCTTCCTACCTGATGGAGGGAGATTTCAGGAAGGCACCTCCTCTTGCCCCACCTGCCTTTTAAACTTCAGTCACTCAGTCATAGGCTGCCTACGCATCCTTCATTGTTGCCTCATCTCCTGACACTGCGTGCTTTTTCAGCCTCTGCATGTCCACTGTGGTGCAGTTACAGGGGCTCTGCATTTAATCCCATCTCACTGGAACCCTGGAATTCCAATACAGTCTTAGCATAGAGGCTATCAATAAGGCTTTCTTTTTTTAGGACACTCAAGTCAAGACAGAGGTGGTTGTTTTCACTTGACAACAGATTTTTTTTAATGCCTTGAGAGCAGGGTTTGATTGGTACTGTTACACTTCATACAGATCTATACCCTGTTGGATAGTATTAAAATGAGGTATAGTGTCAAAGCAGGGCTTCTAAATTTATTTTATTTTATTTTATTTTATTTTATTTTATTTTTAATGGAAAGATTTATATAGATTCAAAGTTCAGTTTACATGGACCTAATAAGAAGAAAAGATTTAAAATATATATTAACAAAAGACTATAGTTTTTTTCACTTGGTTAGTTTTCTAATCTGTAAAGTAGAGCTAATAATGTCTATTAACATGGAGAGGTGGTGCAAACTAGATGAAATAAAACATGCTCAAGGTGCTAGCTGATTTTGGCCTTAAATAAGAGCTTAAAGAATTGGAATTTGACTATTAAGCTGGAAGATTTTTTGGAATCATGACACAGATCTCTTTTGTAACTCAACTATGAATCTTTCAGTTTTCAGTGGATGAGAATAATCTGAAAGGATTTATTCTTCATAAATATAAACCCCTTTTCTTTTCAAGGGGTCTGCAAATTGAATTTAGTATTAATCTTTCTCTGTTATTCCCTGAAATTTTCAATGTCATTCATACGTAGGTGTGAACATAAATGATGCCTTAGCCCAGGTTTTCTCCCTTTTCAAGAATGGTCTGATCTTTTTTATGATCTCATAATAACTGTACTGACTTGAGCCAGTTGTTTTATTATACTGCAAACAATTCATCCAGTCTGCTGACTTCACTTTTCTACTGAGACAACTTTCGTCCTCAACAAATTGATAATGGAAAAGTATCTAACAGACACTGAGTGTCGGTGTGTAAGGCACCGTACTAAAAGAGGCTACTTGCATTAACACACACACAATAATCTTACGAGACAGGTATTTTTATTACCCCCATTTCACAGATGATGAAGCGGAGGCTTGGAGGGGTTAAATTTTCAAAATGATTCTTCCCCCAAACTTTCTAGTATCTTAAAGGCAACACATTTTCAGGAAGGATGGGAGTCTTCGCGAGGAGACTGAGAAGGGAGAAGTCACCTTGCCCACGGTGGGCTGCAGCTCTCTGCCCAGAGATGGTGGCATCCCTGGAGCAGCCTTTGCCCTCACATCAACTCCAGAAACATGCCTCACCTATATGAATTAGCACAAAGAGACTTTTTTTTTAACCAAAGAATTCATGATACAGAAGAATATTTACCCTTGAAAAATTGCATAAAATCCTCCTCAGGCTCTTCTTTCTCTAAAACTGCTTCCCCTAAACCAGGACTTTCATCTCCCCTCTCCATCCTCCATTAATCCCTCACAGAAGAGAGTCAGCTCTGGGTGAATATGCCACTGAACAAATAAAAGCTACACAAACAGAAGGCAGTTCATGGAGTATCAACTGCTACTTAAGCCCCTTTAGCTGGGTGGGGAGGAGGTGTCTCACCCACCCATCCCCAGGGGCCTAATCAATTTATTTATTCTGTACTTAAGGCTTTTTTCTTTTGACTGTACCTACACATTATATTGCATGTAAGTACATATATACGGTATACAGCACATTTTTTGAAGTATACATATATGTACTATTGTTTCTAAGAATAGATTAGATCTTTAGCTTTTTAAACTTACATAGTTATCAAAGGAATAAAGTATGTACTTAAGGCTTATTAAGGGTAGGAAGTGGCAGGGCAGATTTTGATGCTAAAAAGAGATTTTTCTCATCAGTCCTTGCTGGCCTGGAACCAGAACTAATTCCCTGACAAGGAAGAGCAAAACTTAGAATAGAGAGCAGGACAGACATGCCCTCTTAGCTGCTCAGGACAGTTGATACCAAGCCCCTCTGTGAGCTCTATGTATTGCTCAGTGTTTGAATCAATCCTTGTGAACCACTACACAGAATTCTGAATCATTACACAGAATTCTGAAATTTGATTAGCCTTTTAATATCAACAGTCAGTGAAGTATTTGGATGTGGGTTACTACAGAAACAGGGTAAAAGCAAAGGAAAGAGAAAAATGATGCTGACCATCTGTGCCACATTGTCTTCAGGGAGAAACTCAACTGCTTCCTATCCAAAATAAAAGGAAGAAAAGAAAGGTCACAAGGAAGGAAGAGACAATGATTAATGCATTCCAGAAATGTAAAATTTCTTTACCAAATTGTATTTCCTAGGACATGTGTTCAAGTTTTGTTGGAGATGGAGATTTTCCTTAAAACAGACATTTCAGAGAGCATGTAAAAGTAACCTCATTTGGTAAGTTTTACTTGGCTATCAAATTTTGAAAACGTAAGCGATATTTTCTTGTGACTAACTATATATTGCTAATATTGATGGCATAATCACCAACTTCCTTCAATTTCC